TCTGGGTCTCTTACATCCTGGGCAAACAATCTATTCAGTGGGCATAAGTAGGCCATTATCTCTTCCTCATTTTTCTTGAAAAAAGGGCTGCCCTGGATTAGGTACCTAACTCCAGGAGAAGGTTTACAGAAGTGAATTCCAAATGGAGATAGATGTCTCTCTTTGGCTCAGAGTTAGGCATCTAAATATTGAGGCCAGACTGCTTGCCATTTCCTAATGGCTAACCAAAGCAGCTCCCAACTCAGTGTGCTGGCTTTTGTGAATCCATGCATTGTATAGGCAAGACTGGGCATCTAACTGAGGGCCGTGAATTCCACTAGGTGGCCAGATGCCTAAAAGATAGGCCACTCAGCACCTAAGTCTCCTTTGTGAACCCCTAGATGTATGACCTTGCATTTAGCTGTATAAATGCATGTTGGTTGGTTGTCCCCAGCTTGTCAAGAAATCCAGAACACTGTGTGTAAGTGACCTATTTTCATAATTGTTACTATTCCAAGAATATCTGTAACCTGCAAAGTTTGAAAATTGTTTTATATTTTTTTTACAAATTATTGACAAAAGTATTTAGTAGCACTGGACTGAAAATCCATCACTGTGAGACTCCCCCCCCCAGTGAAAACAAATCCATATGATGATGATTCCCCATTAACAATTGTTTGATATTTACCTATCATATCAGTTTTTAATTATACTAAGCTGTTAATGAGAATGTGTGTATTATATCAAATGCCATTCAGAAGTCTACGTCTATCAGATCAACCCATTACATTAATCAACCAAATTTGTAATCACATCAAAAAATACTATCTAGTTTTATTGACAAGATTTATTTCTTATAAACCATATTAATTGGCACTCATTATATTACCATCTTTTAGTGCTTTATGGTTGGAATTTCATATCAGCCATACCATTATTTTGCCAGGACCAGTGTCATGCTAGCATGCCTATAATTATCCGAGTCATCCCATTTATTCTTTTTAAACAATAGCTTTCTTCCAGTCCTCTGGAATTTCCCTATTATTCTGAGATTTATTAAACATTAACATCAACAGACCAGAGAGCTCCTCAGCCAACTCTTTTAAAATTCTTGGGATGAAGTCATCTAGAGCCTTTTCTTTATGAACAAGATGCTGTCTACATAAGAAAGTTGCACTGGTTTAACGTAAATCATTTTTCAAACTTATTAAGTTAAACCAGTTCAAAACTCTGTGCAGACACTTATTTTGGTTTAAGAGTGGCTTACTTCAGATTATCTTAAATCAATTTCTAATTAGTATAAAGTAAACTGAAATAGAATATCAGGGTTGGAAGGGACCTCAGGAGGTCATCTAGTCCAACCCTATGCTCAAAGCAGGACCAATCCCCAGACAGATTTTTGCCCCAGATCCCTAAATGGCCCCCTCAAGGGTTGATCTCACAACCCTAGGTTTAGCAGGTCAATGCTCAAACCACCCTTGAACTAAACCAAAATAAGAGTGTTAACACAGTCTTTGGCATCTGTTTAGTTAAATCAGGTTAAAATCATACCTCTAGTTAAACTGGTACAACTTTCTCATATAGACAAGGCCTAAACTACTGACATATTGATTAAAAGAACAGGAGTACTTGTGGCACCTTAGAGACTAACAAATTTATTAGAGCATAAGCTTTCGTGGACTACAGCTCACTTCTTCGGATGCATACAGACTGATGGATTAAATTTTATTTAATACTTTTATGAAACTATAAAGATTAGTTTATTTATTTATTTGTTATTGCAAGTGAATGGCATTAATTGCACGTTATTATGAGGCCACATCAGTCTCTCTTTCAAGAAAAAACATGGGTAGAAGCCAGACAGGACAAAAACCTGAAGTCCACTATGCAGATTTGTCTAAAAAGCATCCCTTCAAGATGTAGGTTCTTCAGGGGCCTGAAAAGATGACAAGAGGGGAATCCACTAGGAAGGGAATCCCTTTCCACATAGGACCAGCAAACCTACATCCCCCAATGATTAATTGGGTCTAGGAAGAACTGTGCTGCCAATGGCCTAGTCTCTCTGCAGCGGCACAGTAATAGTCACATAGAGGACTCCTCCAGAGTCAATGTTAAGGCAGCATTACCTACACCTAGGATATCTGCTTGGATATCTGGGGGCTGAGAAAAGAAAGTGGTTATGGAGAAAGGCAGATGTCATGCTCCACCACCCTCACCCAAAGAAGTTCCTAACTTCTTGAAATTAAACATTGTTTCATTGTAAAAAAATATTTAAGGAAAAATGTGTATTCATCTAAATAGTAAAGTAGACTTGCATCTTATTGTTATTTTTAAATTGTTTTGATATTGAAATGGCTCATATTGTCTATTGTGGCTTCAGAGAAAACCCTGTGATACAATGCAGACCTCCTGACTCCAATCCCAACTATACATATAAAATGAAAGGGTCTAAATTAGCTGTTACTACTCAAGAAAGAGCTCTTGGAATCATTGTGGCTAGTTCTCTGGAAACATCCATTCAATGTGCAGTGGCACTCAAAATAGCGAACAGAACGCTGGGAATCATTAAGAAAGGGATAGATAATAAGCCAGAAAACATCATGTTGCCTCTATATAAAACCATGGTACGCCCACATCTTGAATACTGTGTGCAGATTTGGTCACCCATCTCAAAAAAGATATATTGGAATTGGAAAAGGTTCAGAAAAGGGCAACAAAAATAATTAGGGGTATGGAATGGCTTCTGTATTAGGAAAGAGTAATAAGACTGGTGTAGAGAAAGTATATAAGGAAGTGGTATTTACTCCTTCTTATAACACAAGAACTAGGGGTCACCAAATGAAATTAATAGGCAGCAAGTTTAAAACAAATAAAAGAAAGTATTTCTTCACACAGCGCATAGTCAACCTGTGGAACTCCTTGCCAGAGGATGTTGTGAAGGCCAAGATCATAATAGGGTAAAAAAAGAACTAGATAAATTCATGGAGGATAGGTCCATCAATAGCTATTAGCCAGGATGGGCAGGAATGGTGTCCCTAGCCTCTGTTTGCCAGACGCTGGGAATGAGCAACAGGGGATGGATCACTTGATGATTACCTGTTCTGTTCATTCTCTCTGGGGCACCTGTCACTGCCCTCTGTCGGAAGACAGGATACTGGGCTAGATGGACCTTTTGTCTGACCCAGTAGGGCCATTCTTATGTTCATGAATCTTACACACTAAACTCATTCTCAGGTATCAAGTATGCATGTGTTAGTATGTGCACATGCACAAAATATGGAGGTATAATATTTGTAGTGTTCTATACTGCTCTCTGAGTACATTTTGTGTAGTGTTTTATCTTATTACAGGAAATGGTTTAAGCATTGCATATATTGCTTAATATATGCAATTGCATATATATTAAAATGCCAGGGTTCAGTGCCATGGTTTGCTCTCTTAAATCTGCATATAGAAGAGAGATTATAAAAACATTTACAAAAGTACATTTTCAGATCTGAGGACAGTCCTTGTATTCTAGATGACTGTTTCATGATTTTACCTGATAGAGGTTTAAAGTTTAATTTAGAGAATTTATAGTCTAAAAAGCTGAATTTTCCCATGGACCTGCAGAGTTCTGTGGTGATGTTAAATACCTATTGACTGTGATTTTTGAGTAGTTTTAAGCAGACCAATTCATACATAAAGGTGTTATCCAGCATGCAGTGCAGAGTGTAAGAAGGACAATGGTTCAACAAGGAAATAAAAACGTATTTCTTGTTTTAACATTAGAGAGAGTAAAGAAGATCATGTATTAATTAAACAAAAGACTAAACAGAACAAACCTTTGGAAAAGCAGACATAACATTTAAGAATAAAATCAACATGGCAGGGTAAAGGTCGGAGAAGATCAAGTAAGTTGCTAATAGTTGTGCTTTTTCCATTTTCTTATCAATCAATATTATGTTTTTTCCCAGTGAAAATGCAACAGCAGAGTTATTGCTGACCTTTTCCTCACCCTTCCATTGTGTATAAAATCACAGCAAAATAACAGACAACTTCATAAGCTGCAGAGTTTTTCTAACCAAAACACCACATTTCCAGAAAATATATATTTAAAATAGATATAAAAGCCTTCCTTTATAGGATAAAAAGTAATTTTCTTCTATCTAAATTATATGTATGAAAATCCTATTTGGAATAAAAGATATCAGTTTAAGCATCAATTATTACATGTAATCTTTGGAAAATTCAGATACAATTTTAGCTGATAATTGACAGCCCAGGCCTGCTTCCAGTAAAATTAATGTAAACCAATATTTATTTCAGTGGGAACAGGATTGAGCCCCTAAATCTCTTCTCAAAATTTTGCTCAATAACTACTAGTAATATTATTCTTTCCAAGTTAAAAAATAATTTACCAGAAACTCTTGGTAAGAAATTTACAAAATAGTTAAAAAAATTAAGAAAGAGGAGATAGATACAGTAAATAATTCAGGAAGGAGATTACTTTTCTTTTCCTGTCTTTCCACTTCCTTCCTAATTCTTCTCTCTTATTATGAATAGACACACAGAGAATTGGAGAAACAAAAGAAATTATTAAATTAAAACCTTTGAAGTGATTTAGATGTACTGTCTTTTTGTATGTTTTTTATCCCAGTTAAGTTAAAATTAAATGATAAAAATACACTTTTATATTTTAAAATATCAGTGAATTGATTTTTTTCCCTGCATTACTATAGCACACAAACATATAATCATCTCTCATAAAAAAAAGAAGCACCCTTTGAGGGTGTGTGCGAGGGGGAGAATTATTGAAGTTTCCCGCTACAGCTAATTTTAACAGATAACTGTGGTAAAGGTAAATAAAAATAACCAACTCACCTAGTTAGAAACATCAAAACATTCACAGCTGCTCATTATATATTATTTTAATGGAGCATTTTATATAGAACAGTGGAAACACTTAAACATTTCAGTAGTAAAGGTATAACCTATTAACTTAAAATTGATGTAATCATAGTTAAGACAGCTTTACTTACAAGGATGCTTTGCTGGGTAAGGTATCTGTTGCTCAACAGTACTGTGATATGTTTAATCACAGCATGTTATTCAGCCACTAGCTATGTGGTGCTGTACAAGGTTCCAGATAGGGTGTGCTCCCTAGTAACCAAAGAAAGCCCTTTTTTTGCCTTTAGTTATAGCTGTTTTTATTAATAAAAGCCTCTTGTTTAAGAAGGACAGACTGTCAGAGTCACCAGGCAGCCAGCTGAAGCAGGAGCAGATGTAGTTTAGACCATAGGCTGGCAAGCATAGCAACAGCCCGGGGTGAGCGGGGAGATGCAATCTGAGTTTGTTGAAACTACTGACAATAGGAGCACTCCTGGACAGGCAATGACATTGAGCACATTGGAAAGACTGCTTCCCTTAGGAGCCTATATACATGCTTTCAGATCACCTGGGTGGGTCCTCACTTGTAGATTGACTGAATCTGGGGCCTATCTCAAGACCTACAGGTAATTGCCTCTGGCTCAAGGATGATTCATCAGGCTAAGGGAGGCTCAGGCTCAAAGGTATCATGCTGACTCCATAGACTCTGTCATGACATAAAAACATGCTGTGTATCATTCACACCTAATCAACTCAGCTCACATGACAAATACTGGATATTCACAACAAACTGTTCAAGAGCAATATACACACCATGACTTTTTTTTGCAGAAAATTAGAACTGTTCCCAACTCTCATGATTTTATCTTGAATCATGTGATATCTGATGTTTAACTTAAAGCTCCATCTCCTGGATACTATTGATTACATATGAAACTCAGCTTCCATTTAAAAAAGTAAGTTTCTAACTCTCATGGTTTCAGAGAAAAGCTTGAAAAGATGACTCAACTGTGCCATAGAGGATCAAAGACCAGAAGGCAAATAAAAAGAAACTAAAATGTATTATTTGTTAAAAATCTCATGACTCATGATTTTTATACACTTAAGTTTGGCAATACTGAAACTGGTATAACAATACTTAGCTATTGTTACCTTAATCGGGTGTAGCAATGTCTAGTTGTTAGTAAACTGGTTTCAGATCCTTAGATGAAAGGCACCATAGAAGTGCAAAGCATTATTATTGTTATTATTATTCATTTTATTTATCATCATATTACACTGTCCTCAAAGCAGAAATGCCAAAACTGAATGAGAAAGTGGCTCTCATCCTTTTGACTTGGAATATCATTGTCATGTGACAATGTTAACAAATCACAGCAAGAATCACTTTCTTATAAGGAACTGTTTAGGATAAGAAAAACAACATTATCTCTAAACCAGAGGTTCCCAAACTTATTTGGCCTACCGCCCCCTTTTCAGAAAAAAAATTACTCAGCGCCCCCCTTTTCAGAAAAAAAATTACTCAGCGCCCCCCTGGAAATCTACCTTCTTTCAGCGAACAAACAGAAAGATGCAGTGACAAATTTGAGTTCTTTTATGTATCTATATTTCTACGTACATCCTACAATATAGTAAAGAAAGATGTGTTATTAGAATATCGCTCACGACATCAGATATACAGTGGGTTTTGCGTAAGACGGCAAAAGACAACCAAATTAAAATACTAATGAAACTAATAAACTGGGTTTTGTTCTTTGCTCAGCATTAGATATATGTATTTGATATTAAATTGTCAAATATCAAACTAAATTTATCAAGAAATAATTAATTTTAAAAATAATCAAAATGCAATTAAAAATCAGTTCATAGTTTTAATTTAGTTTGCCCTTATTTAAATAATGGTTCCTTATTAACACACGCCTTATTTACTAATTAACACAGATGATTCGATAGATATAAATAAATGTTAATAGTTAACAGTTTTTTTACGATTTCATTCCCCTGTTTTCATTAATATTGTAATAAAAAATGACAAATATATTGACTGTACACTTCAAATAGTACTGTACCGACACAAGCCTGCTATGATTTTATTATTAGTAAGCACTAGAGACACAGAAACATACGGTAGATATGTAAGAAAATGTATAAAAATACTCATGTGTAAATTGCTGTTTTATTGAAACAACAATAATACAATTTGCTTTGTATGTGATCCGTAATCCGTAAAGATCGAAGGTATCGAATATGAATAAAAAATTTAAATACTTATTGCACTATTGTTAACTGCTTTTTACATAGTTCAGAAACAATCTAAATTAGATTTCATACATGTCGCTTATTTATAGTATCGTATTGTAAACAAGTCATTACACGCACATATTCCTGCCGATGCATGCTGGACTTCCCGATAATGCGTGACACGCTTGTCTGCCAACACTTGCTTGTTAAGAGCTGTTGGCGGACTTGACACCTGATCGGTTATAATTTGTGAATTTATTTGGAAAATAAAGTAATCACTACAACTTTTCATCTGTTACACAACAGATGAAACATATACAAACGTTTTTTCAAAATTTTCTTATATTCTCTTCTTTCTTTATGCTTCCACCACCCCCTTATTTTTATTCAACGCCCCCCAATTGCACCCGAAGCTACTACTGCCCTCCTGGATCGTTCCAGTGCCCCCCACTCTGCCTCTCTCTCTCTTCCCCCTTCACTCCAGAGAGTGATTAATTATTAATTATTATTATTATTTTATTGTTTTTGTTGTTTGTTGTAGTATTTAGAGGGTCACCCCCATTAAGGATCAGGGCCTAATTTTACATACATTCAATGAAAGGACAGTCCTTGTCCCAAAGTGATAAGTACATAAAGCAAGAGATAACATCCAAATACAGCAAAAGGATGCAGGTGAAGAAGTACAGAACCTTTCTGCCCAGCTTCCTGTTATAGATTTAAAAATACACACCTCTCCACAGCTTCCCTCCATTTTTTCTAAATAATCTTTAACAAACATTTTTATTTCACAACAAATTGTATATCAGTTTAAATTACAGATTACCACTCCAGATCTGGTTACATACATAGTTTTATCTATTGCTTCAAAGTTCCTGTTCAGTAAGTTTAGGACTATTTTCACAAGGTTATCTTCCTTCACTATTGTTGTGGTGTAAATCATTGCTAGTAGGGTCACATACCAATTCAACTGAATTTGGAATCAGTTCTGTTCCCTTTGTACCACTTTGGTTGCACAAAGGGGATAGAAAACTTCCATACCAGGGCAGCTCCATATGCCTTTTGAATAGGGGAATCTCCAAATGGCATAAGTCATCAGAAGTGGTTCACCACCTCTCCTAGCCACACCTTCATTTCTATTTCATAGAATCATAGAATCATAGACTATCAGGGTTGGAAGGGACCTCAGGAGGTCATCTAGTCCAAACCTCTGCCCAAAGCAGGACCAATCCCCAACTAAATCATCCCAGCAATGGCTTTGTCAAGCCTGACCTTAAAAACCTCTAAGGAAGGAGATTCCACTACCTCCCTAGGTAACCCATTCCAGCGCTTCACCACCCTCCTAGAGAAAAAGTTTTTCCTAATATCCAACCTAAACCTCCCCCACTGCAACTTGAGACCATTACTCCTTGTTCTGTCATCTGGTACCACTGAGAACAGTCTACATCCATCCTCTTTGGAACCCCCTTTCAGGTAGTTGAAAGCAGCTATCAAAT